CCATTGCGTTCACAAGGTGGCAAAATGTGAAGAAGCCTGCCACCAATAGACTTCCGATGTCCAATGGAATGTCAATTTCCACTGCAGAAATGTCTCCTTCAAACCGATCCAGAATCCGTCCGATCGGGTTAGCGTCGAAGAATCTTAATGGTACATACAGCAAAGTACGTGTAAGCAGACGAAATAGCTCCCGAGAAGCACAGAGTCCAGCAGTAGCCACCGCCACAGCACGCGCAAGCACCATCAAGGCACTGCCTCCACCCAGTAATGCGTAGATTGTCATGTTATACTGCGTTCGTGAGGCATCGTACGTGTTGTCCTTGCGACGAAACGAGTTCGAGGAAGTGTAATTTCTTGCCGCTCGATAGAAATTTGACCTTCTGACGCTGAAATCTTGCAACTCGCTACGCCAGACTCGATAACATCCAGGTCTTGAGTGACAAGAAGCACCGCCTTCTCTGCTGGCAGCCCACAGATACACTTGCTGAAGATCCGCTTTGTACCACAGCGTCCACTGCTGCGAGAGGTGAATCCAAGATGAAAATATCTGCGTCGGGGTAGCAGGCGCGTGCCAGACTCACACGAGCCTTCTGACCACCTGACAGGTTGATTCCCTTTTGACCGATCTAAGTTGCATCACCTCCGGGAAATTGCTGCAGGTCGGGGAGAAGGCCACAGACATCCAGCACATATTGGTACTTGTTGTGGCCGAAGGCATGTCCAAAGAGGAGTTTTCTCGGATGGTCATATTCTGGATCCACGGCTGCTACGAGTAGTATGACACTTTACCGTTTACAGATACCTTACCGTCGATTTTCGTCTAGCAAGGCAGAGCACAGTGAAGACTTGCCAGAACGACAGGTCCATGAGTGCCGACCAAATCACCTTTCTCTACTATCAAGTTCACATCCGCTAAAACTGGATTCGCATCTTCAATTCATGCGAATGTTCCGTGCCCAACCACGATCGCAACCTCATCTGGAATGGAGGGATCATTTTGAGTCACGTTGGACGGATCAACTTTGTGAAGAACGAGGTAGTCTGCCATCCGATCCAGAGAAATCTTAGCTTGAAGGCACTTTTGGATGATACTTGGGGAACTCGCGAAGTGAATCTTGAAGTAGATTAAACAGTGCAATGGCAGTGAAAACCTTTGCAGCCGTTAATTCTGGCTCATTACCAGAGTGTAGAAAGCAGAGGAGACAGTCGAAACGAATAGTGGGCGACGTCCACAATACGAAGAACGTTCCACACGCGGCGTAAACGAATCGTGAAAGCGATACGAGCGCTAAGTGAGTAATTTCTCTTCTAACTTCCCTTCCCATGCGTTCAACTTGACTATCTGGGTAGCTCCGAACGTCTCTTTGACGGGTTTCATGCGGTCATCTTTGCGTTTCATCAACTCTTTGTACGATCCGCAGGTCTGCTTTGTGAAGAAGAAAGCAACCAACATCGACAGCGCGATGACGACAAGCCCAGCAAACGCTGAGACGCCTAAAACTACGTACAACATGTAGACAACAGCGCCGATCTGGATGGGTACAATCCACAGCGTATTGATTTCGTTCGCACATTGGATCACCCGCTGGATGTCCAACGAGTAGTTGTTAGCAACGTCCACAGCCTTGTCATCACTACGGCTCTGAATGCTACGTCGCATGGTCTTCTCAAACAGCAGCGCTCTCAATGATACTGTAATGAGAAATACCATCCACTGGGTCTGAAAATCTACATGTGGTGTCGCCAGAGCGTTGGCGAGAGGCGAAAAGGACTGCTAGCCACACCCCGAGACTCGTCAGATCCATCTCCGGTGTAGCGAAGTGTCGATCACGTGGTGCAGCACAACGGGTGCGAACAGAATGCAGGCCGTCGTGAACGAAGATACCAGCCCACAGAGTAGGAATTTCCACCTGTATCCGTGTATGATAGCTCGGACGATCGACTGATTTTGGTGGTGGTAGTGCTG